AAAATTTTTCCACTGCTTACTTACTTGCACATCTGACATTAAAGTTTTTTAAAGTAGGTATGCATCCAGATACTCTGTTTAGGAAAAGCAGCATAGCCAAGAGCAGTACTACTCTGTATTTGAGGAGCATCATCAGCTTTCCTCTGCCAATATTGATATCACAATATTTTAAAAATTGTTTATCCTGAATGTTTTGTGAAAAAATATTTAAAATTCACTGATTCACTAGAGAATAAACATTCATTAATTAATAGCAGAAAGTAAACACTCAGAGGGGAAAAACAGAGTTAAAGTGATTTAATGTAAAAATTCATATGAATATTCATGTCATAATTTTGCCTCAGTTTCTAGTTCTAATGGTGCTATTTCTCTGAAGAACTAATTTAATTGAGTAGATACATGTTTATGTGTACAGAGGTTCTGAAGTGTTGTATCAGTTGTGGGTTTTTTTTCCTAGGCATCCAATTCAAACGCATAATTCAAAGGTCCATAATCCATATATATGTGTGTGTGTATATATATATTTCACAGTGTGTTTCCCTGTAAAACTCCCAAATTTTTCTGAATGTTTTTCTGAAACATACCTTGGAAACCTGAAATTACTTGTGGCACAACACACCATTCTCATGCTTTCAAAGTCCCAAAAGTTTTGCGAACACAGAGAGATTTAGGAGACTCACTGCTGGGGCAACACAACTGGATTCTTCCCCTTTTATATTAAAAGAGAAAAAGAAAAGAAAACCCATACAATTTCATTCACAATATCAGATTGCGATTCTGTGATTATGAGACCAGACCATTTTTTATGGTATGCGCTTTTCTTTCCCAACTGCAAATACTGATTCATTACTGTCTCCAGCTGGCAGAAATGCACTCATGGGAGACAGACACTTGAGTCACAGAACCACAGAATCACAGAATTAACTAGCTTGGAAAAGACCTTTGAGATCACTGAGTCCAGCCTATGACCTAACACCACCTTGTCACACCATAGCACCAAGTACCACATCCATGCTTTTCTTGAATATCTTCAGGGACAGTGATTCCACAAACTCCCTGAGCAACCCATTCCAATGCCCAATCACTCTTTCTGTGAAGAACTTTTCCCTAAAGTGTCCAGCCTAAAATATTTGTCTGGTATGTAAAAGGGAGACAAGGATCCCTGAACCTTAAGGCTGTTGTCTAACAGGCCCAGCCAGATGGAGCTTTGACAGACAAAGGTAAGACTATTTCATAAATGTAGTTATCAACCACTGCCCATAGGCTGAAGCTAACTGCATGGACAGACATGGATAAACCACAGCTCAAGTTACAAAATGTCTTCCAGATTCAGAGGGACTTGAATAAGGGTCTGCATAAAGAGAAAACAATAATTTCAGAATTCATACACTGTAAAATTGATTTTAAGCCTCTTTAGCTACTACTTTGTGCCTATTTGTCTAACTTAGTATTTTTTTGTGTGAGATTTTTATTTTTGTGTGAGCTACACAGGACAATGCAGTATGTCATTTACTCTTCCAATCTAACATTTTCTCTTTTTGTTTTCCTGGAATCAAAATACTTTTCATTCCCGTACTTCTCCCTTGCAAGGCATGCCTAGTGCTAGCTGTATCATGTTTAAGACTGTTATTCTTGCTTCTAAGAAAACCTGATTTGTGCTCAATTCTTCTTATTTTCAGTTTCTTTTCACTGATCTCACTGTCACTCTAGCTTTGTTAAAAGCACAAACTGCACTGCTCCCTTGTCTACTTTAACATTGTGTCATAATTCCTTGGCTTTAAATCCCTAAATCACTCACTCTAGTCATCCTCTTCACAGAAATAAATGCCTTTAAGGACGTCCACAGTCATGAAAACTAATAGTAGAAATATACCAGAAAGTGTTAAAGGCTAATTATTACAAAATTATTACTCTTTTTTCCCTTACTATTTTGTTGCTGTCAAAGAGCTTTATCTTTTCTCAGATGTGTAAAAATAATTACTTTACAAGGAACAGTGGGTCTCCACTTATGAAAATACATTATCATAGCAATGATATTTGAGAGGCGGGGAAAAAAGTGGCACAAGGTCTCAAAGGAAGGAATTCCTAACAGGAATTCTAAAGATGTAATGTGCTCTGATTTTGACCTTTATTAAGGTTCTCAGAAGTGGGTCTGATATAATTTTCAAAAGGGCACGATCCAGATTATTTTCAAAATATTTACCCAAGTTTTTGTTTTCCCAAACTCTTGTGGCTTGGTAAATATACTTAGGTATCCACAAGTACTCTGGCTATGCAAGGTATACTCAGAGATAAGGAGAAACCATATTCTCCAGGGGCCAGATAGCCTCATGGGGCTTCTGCTGAAGCATAACCAACCAAAGGCAATGGCTACATCCCTCCACTGCTAGGTTAATAGTTTGTCTGAATGAACTTAAGGGTCTTCTCCAGACTAAACAATTCTATGATTCCATCATAGAGTGTTTTACAAATCCATTTTTTAACCTCCTACTCAACGCAGAATCACTAAGCTAGATGCTACATGAATACAGAGCACAAAGCAGCAGCTTCTTTCTAACCAGGCTACATTTTTACCATCTAGACAGCCTGGCCACTCTGACACTGAGATCTATGAAAAGGATGTGTTAAAGCCGCATCCCTATGCTGGGGATTACTCCTCTGTGTAACTTAGCTTCCCAGCATCCATAAAAAGAAATGGTACAAGCAAGCCTTGTTCTCAAAATTAAACCTCTAAGTCACACCAACAACCTGCTCAGATTTAGCTATCAACTGTCTAGAGGATATATTACTGCTTCATAGATGAGAGAAAAGGGGAAACATAATAGAAATACTTATCAGCTAAAAGGAAGATAGAAGATTCAGCAGCTCGTCCCCAAATGGATACTTTACAGGACTGTGCTGTTTGCTGCTGCCAATGGTAAGTGGCCAGTCAACAGCAAATCCAGCTTGTTATGTGCCCATAAATCTGCACAGGTAATCCCAGCTCAGACTTCTCCAAGTCCCTGAGTGCTTAATCACTGAAACTTTCAACTCATAGACGTATTTGTGTGCAAAACACATAAAAAAAACCCCTAAATCACAATTGACACCACCACCTCCCAGCTACATAACATACAAACGTCTCCGAGAAAACTGTCATATGTCCACAGATTTTGTTCATGTGCAGATTGCCAGACTGTGCAGCATTGTTTTTATCATCTGAAAATTCATTTTGCTTAAAAGTGAATCCTTTCTTTTTGTGAGAAAGCCATAGGAGAAAAGACTATAGCAGCTGATTCTGTCTTTTGTTCAGAAACAACAGTTCAGATTTTAAAAAGCAAAATAATTATTTATATAAGACAAAAACAACAAAATTTCTGCAGTAAGTGGAAATACACTTCCTTCAGAACTTTGTCAAGTGAGTTTTCACAATTTTAAAATAATTGTCATCTGTTAGAAAGTGACATTTCAATTTTGAAGGAGTACTGATCTGAATAAAACAGCTGTGATTGTATTTTTGTCCACAGATATCTGAACTATGTCACAGTTTGTTGTTGAAGCAGGAAACCCACTTTAGTTAGGCTAGAGCTGGACAATGAGACTTGATGCATGTTTGAAATGGACATACTGAGCACCTGATAAGAAGATATCAAAACTCATGATGGTTAGGAATGTACTGCTCAAGGTGACATAATATAACAGTACATGACAGTACACCAATTTCTCTTAAATTGGATTTTTCAGAACATCAAATTAAAATTAAATATTCTGGAAAACAGAATAAAACATGTGTGTTTGATTTTGCTTCCTAACGTAAGCCTAGTTTATGGTGACAAAGCAAAATTTTAATGGTTTGGCAAAAGGGAATAAGTAACAGAAAAGTTCAATTATGCAACTCTCGACACCCGGAGGCATTAAAGATATTTGCAGGTGCTACTATATCAGAGTCTAAGGAGCTGTAATCTCTCCCTCTCTCTTTATTTTTTTCCCTAAAGAGTACCTCTAAGGTTTACAATACCCAAAAGAATGCAGTGTTTGACTGCACATCTTACACATCACTTTCAAAATCCCAAGTTCTTGAAAGAAGAAATGTGATAGCTCCCCAAAAACCAGTCCTTCCAGGTGAATGACTGGGTTCAGTTGCAAAAAGAGGCTCCTTAGTAAGATGAATAAGAGCCAGGGTTTTCTATAGATGAGAAATTTCAAATACTGTATGTTTATTCAGAAGAAAATTAAAGCAAGAAAGAAAAATGAAAACTGAAAAAGAAAATACCATCAGATTCAAGATCAAATCTAGGATAAAGTTACACTTCATGTCAATCAAAAAATAATTCTAGCTTTTTTTATCAATGTTTTAACTTATATTTTTTTGAATGACAATACTACATGAAATTCAAAATTTTGATTTCACATTATCATTAATAAAGTAATGTTTCTCTAAATACATTTCAATCAAAGCTTTTACAACTCCAGAAATCTTCAGACTAACTCTAACCCAACACTTGCTCAATTTCAAGCCAGCACTAATTCACATCTTACCTGCAAGCTGCTATTTCACATCAAAAATATCTGCAAGTCAGATGTGCTTTTTTTCAATAAGACCCTTGTGAATTGTTGCTAATATTAATTTTAAACTGAGCAGAGCTTGAGAAAGTGTTATCACACCATTAGAGCAATAACACAGATCTCTGATTAGTAGAAGACAGCAATAAGACAACAAATGTTATTTTCATCTCTCTTCACACTCTAGGGAATTTTAGTGAAAAAGACCTTGTTGCAATATTATTGTCCATACCAAAACTTATGAGAAGGATGAATTACATGTATCAGCAGAGAATTTAAAATACAAATACCTGAAAACTAAACCACTAGTTCAGGATGGGGTAGAAAATACTTTGTCACTTCTAACACTGTGCAAAAGCATCAGTTTCATATTTGCCATAAAAAGGGTAGGATTAAAAGCTATAGTCTATGAAACACAAAGTCTTCACCAACAGAAACATATTTTCCATTAGACTTACCGTCCACTGCTCTCCAGAAAGCTGAAAAATAAACTTGTTCCGTTCTTTATTTGCTCCATCTGACAAGGCATGATTCTTCTTGAGCTGAGGATTCTTTCCATGGATGTCCAGGTTCTTCTCATTGATGTTTACAAAGCCATTCTTGAGGTATTTTGATTGAGGAATACCTTTCTTACGGCACTCTAGTATCAAATTCCATTCCTGTTTTATCCTGAAATAGTGCAAAAAAATGCTTATGGGAAAAAAATACGGCAGGTAAGTTCTAAAGCTTAATCTGTGTTTGCAAAAGTACTTAACTAAATATAGTTATTCATCTAAGGTATTGGCTATTTTTTATATATGCATACCAAGAAAATATGCTTTCCTGGAGTAGGCTAAGGTACGTATACATTTCAAGTGATCAGGATTTCATTCACTGACTATAAAACAATGAGATGCAGAGAACAATAGAAAAGTGGAGACTGAGCAAACTGTAACAGAAAAGAGCAAAAATTATACCCTTTATTTTGATAGGATAGGAAATATATTCTCACAGAATAAATTACATGCATAAACGAAATCAAGTACTTGGTGATATAGGAAAACATTTTCTTTGGGAAAAGGTAAGAAGTGCCTTTTTTCCCTGCCCTTTCTTGATCAACTATAATGATTTATTTCTATTTTTACACCAATATCTTCTTAGAAAGAAAAGGTCAAAGTTATCACACGCCAACTGATTTCAGATTCAGTTTCAGTAACTTCTACATCATCTCCAAGGCAAGCTTTTTCACAAAACTTCAGGTGCAAATTCAATTTGATATAATTAAGCATTGTTAAGAGCTCATGTTTTTATTTAAGAGAGATTTATTTCAATTTAGTCAATTAAAGAACTCATTGATTAACAGAAGTAAGCCTTTCTTACACCAAAACAAGACTCTGGAGGGCCCCTTGTATCATAAATCGGACCTCACACTTTGAATTCTATATCCTGTGGTACATAAGACTCATTTATGTGATCTCATCCTCTGACAGAAACTTTAATCTAAAGGATTGAAGAAAACTGAGAGTTTAAGAACAACATAAAGTTCAGGATTAAGTAGCCCTAGAGAAAGTAAATACATTGTATCCTAGAAAGAGAAACACATGGAAATTTAAAAAGTTCAAATAGGAAGTTACAAAATCTTTGCACATATTACCACTTAGTTATGGGGTTCTTCTCTACAACGCTAGGATGTAAAAAAAAAAAATGCCACATGAGAGAGAAGTTGGAAGTAATAGAATTATTTGGGTGTGAAGGGACGATGAAGATCACGTACTTACAACCCCACTGACTCTAGAGGGATCGTCACCCATTAGCCATCATGGCTGGGTGGCTGCATGCAAAGTGTAGTGGCCACCCAGCCAGTACTTTATCCACTAGATGGTTCATCTCTCAAATCCATGACCCCCTATTTACAGTCAAACATGGCATGTGAGACAGCATTGAATGCTTTGCGTAATCCAGGTAGATTATGTCAATTGCTTTGCCCCTATCCACCAATGCCATGGTTCCATCATAAAAGACTCACAGATCTGTCAGGATTAAAGCCAGAATGTCGAGTTTTAAGTCACATACAAGAAACCCACTATAAACTTAGGTGAAAGAAGCTTGTCTCAAATTGTTATTGAAATAAATTATTTTTGGACATCTATAACAAGGTATGAAGCCTCAATGCAGAGCACTCTTATGGAAATGTAGTAACACAGATTAAAAGTCATAGATGACTTAATGCTATCAAAAATAGTCTTTAGAGAGCAAAACTGCATGCCTAGATAGAAAGGTATTGAGACAGTTGTATATATTGTGGCACTTACAGAAATCTCAGGGGATTTTAGAGAGTTTTGGAAGCAGAGAGCACAGCAATGGCAAAGACACAGAGCACAGAGACCAGAGACACACTGCAGGCACTTTCTACACTTTTGGAAAATACATATAACCATTTATCAGAGGAGCAAGCCTGAGCGACCACCGGAGGAGAGTTTCAAGGAGCAGCACACTATACATGGAACATAAGAGAACTGCAGAAAGCCCCTACTGTAACAATGACTTCAATGTATTCCGAAGTGACATCTTCTACAAATATTTCAGGAGGTGAATTAACTGTGAGGTTGGTTAAAAGGTAGCTCACTGGATAAAATGTTGACAGACTATAGGAAGACAGGACAAATTCTGACTAAGTGCATTCTAATGAAAAGACAGTAAGGATCTCTTTGTCCCTTATTCAAAAATTACAGAAATATTTCTTAAAAGATAAAATTGTATTTACCTTCAAATTAAAAAAATTAGAAAGAAACATGATCTCTGATAAGCACCAAAAAAGAAAATTAAGTTACTGCAGGTATGCAAATGTGTAAGAAAAGGATTTGTAGCATATCAGATGAAAGAAGATTCAGAGAGATGATGGGAACAATAACTTCTCAAAATATGAAAGGAGCAATGAAGGAATAGTTATAGAAGTTATTGATACCTGCAGAAATGTTACTCATTCTTGGCTTCAGTTTTCATTAGAGAGATCAAGCTGTACTTCACAAGTCAACATCTGGAAGAATTCCTTGTATTAAAAAGTATCAGTAGGGGAGGTGTGAGAGTACTAAAATATATTTGAAATAAATCTCCTAGTTTCTCTCAGTGTCTACTGCATTGTGGAATGTTTCATACCACAGCAAGCTGTGATTAAATGTGAGTTAACAAAAGATAGACTGGGCAGACAGAAAAACATTCAGCCCAGGGAGTCCCTATTGTTGGCTAAAGGTGTTAGCACAGTCCACCAACTATTTACAATATCTCCACAAATATTGTCTGAGTTTACTTGATATGACAAAGACAAGAAAATAGATTAAAACAGATACAGCTCCTTAGCCCACACTGCGATATGTCATCAAGTTGTGGCTAATATTTCTAAATTTTCAATTAAAGAGGGAGAAATATCCAAACATCTGATTTGACCAAGCAGCCCTGCTAAGGGTATCCCCACCAGTTGCAGTCTAGAAGTGCTCAGATGACAGAATTTCCATATCAGCAGACATGATAGTTCAAAATCAATTCAGATGCTTTGACACATGAGCCCATTCAATTTTTAGTTTTGATTTTAACTATTCAATCTGTCATTTGTACTGAATGCCAACACAACAGAGTGTGAATATTGTAATAGCAATAGGTTGCTAGGGAAAGCTACAAACCAATATTTCTATGCACATAAGGAAAAACAAACAGTCCCAAAACACCTTCTCACATTTTGTTCCAAAACTTGTGTACCAGTGAGTATAGCTATATAGATATAAAAGTTCTGTACGGCTAGGAAATGAAGTGTGTGGGGAAGGTGTTAACTGAATTTCAAGGAAGAGAATAAAATTATCTGAACAAAAGAGGCAAGAGTCATAAGGACCATAGGATTAAACAAGTAGAATTATTTTTTTACTAAAATATTCCAAATTTTACTTACCACTGCTGTTCTGCTCTTTCTCACATTCTCCAGTCCCTCAGACAGAGTTGTCTGTTCTTCTGTAAAGCTTAATTTTGTATTACTACCCTCTCATTCCCATGGAATTCCTTCATTGTCTATCAAAACAATAAATATTTCACTCAGTGCATACTTTAGTGTACTAAAAAAAATTGCACAAAATGCAATACAAAATGGAGGGGTTTTGTATTCATTGCTCTTCTTTCAGGCCCAAAAAAATTACTGACTTGTGCCTGACAGTATAAATTCTAATAATTTTAGAAACTTAACAGAAATAAGAGGTCAAAAAGCCTAGCTCAATAAAAAATAAGCTGCATTACTACACATCTGCGCTGGCTCTGTCTGGTAGACCCCAGGAACACTAGAGTAGAGGACTCAGGTCTAAAACATTACTTTCCCACAACAAGGAATATAAAAAATGGTAAGAAGGGAGTTACATTAAAGCTGAAAAATAAACTGCCCTCTGACAGTCTGCTGATAATAAGGATAAAACGAAAAATTCAAGAGGTGATTGCTAGCCAAGTAAAATAAAATGCATACAACAAAAATGATTGTTAAGCAAATCAGTCAGTGAAATATTTACCTCAGAAGAAAGACAGGGGTAAAAAACTAAATTTATTAATGAATTCAGCATGTATATTGCACACTGATATGGAAATCCTGTGTCAAATTTTCTCCTTACTCGTACATGAAGTTATGGTAACATGCTCTGTTAGGCTTTTAAAGAATGCAAGTATCGTGTACAAGCACATTTAGAACAGATGGAAGGTGAATTAATAATGGAGCAACAAAAGTGCATAATTTTGTACAGTATATCTCAGAATGAAAACATCATATTTCCCATGGGCAAAGGTTCTAATAATTTACAACACCTGGCTGTACCCTCAAGTTGCACACTACCCAAATTAATCACTATGAGCCTTACTGGCCTGGAGTTGCAAATTATATCAAACCAGTGTGTATCATGAAGAAAAGATGACAAAGCTGTAAATTTGCAGGTTCAGTTCAGACCAAACCAAAGGGATCTATTTGGCTACATGGCTGTCATTCTGCTCTGTCATTGTCAAAAAATTGAGATGATGGTACTTTTTAAGGGATTATTATGAAAATAAAGTCTTCATCTGGTGACAATCCTCAAATTATACAGAATTTGCACCATGTTTGTCATATCAGGAAGCTGTTACATGAATCTTTAAGAAAGACATCTAAAAGAAAAGGTCTCTAAACCAGTGAGGCAAAACGAAAAAAAAATACTCACACAAATAAAATAATTTTTAAATACTAATATACTTTTAAGAAATTATATTTCTAATCTTGACACTTTAAAGATTCCTCATATTCCAGAAACACATATAAAATAAAGCATATCTTTCCACATATGACAAATAAGCTACAAAACCACAGCTCTGCTGAAGTTTATGTCTTTTTAATACTATTTAACAATAAAATATTTTCATCTTCCTCTAGGCCTTGATTAAACAGTTAAAGTCAGGTTAAAAAAACCAACTATTATTTTCAATAGTAAGAAAAATGAAGATAGCAAGGTCAAGCCTAATTTAGGTGGGATTATGAACACGAAAAATATTTTTCTCAAAGGGCTCAGATGGGATGTAAGGTTTCAACTCAGCTAACCATTTTAGTATTTCCTCTTCAATCATATAAATAGTTAGCTTTATTTTAAAAAAGGCTGGTTGCATGCTGCTTGTGTTTGTCAAAAAAAAAAAAAAGGAAA